TGCTATGCTGCCTGATGTCAAAACAATATATGTAGTTAAATTTTCGGTTAGCTTGTTGTCTTAGAGATGCCTGCATTGCTTTCTCTGATAAACACACAGCAAAGACAAAATCTTAGGCACTGTGATAGTTTTAAAGATAGTAACTCAAGGGTTTTGGATTCTGCCAAGGCAGAATCAGTACTGTCAAATGCACAGAGCTCAGGGCATCCAAACAAACACTGTTTATAGGACAACCCTATGGCAATGTAACAGTCCAAAGCTGCTAACAATTTGCTCTTTCATCAAATGCTGGAGCCATCTTCTGTTTCCCAAATTGTATCAGGTTGTCATTCCTGTTACTCTTCAACAGGTGCAAAAGATGAACATACAAAATACCAAGAACCTGCTGCATTTCAGAAATTTCCTTTCCTTCCTGATTTAGAATTTTATTTTCTGCTCTAAGTCACGATCAAACTGCTGCAAATTGCTCCCCCATTTCAGTGCTAACACAAATTGTCCAGGTTATGCAGTATACAGCTTTCCCATCAAACAAACATCATCAACTCAAGATCAAAGACAGGCTCTAATATACAGTCCAACTTCTGTTACAAACTCAGCCCCCTTCTTCACAACCACCAAAACCTTCACAACGTGCCAGGATCAAGCACCTCTTACTTTTCACACTTGAATCCTGCTGGCTCAAAGGAACAAAGAATTTAGCCCAAGGAGTCGGAGATAAAGCCCTTTCCTCAGAAAAATGCTTCAGGAGAGCAGAGACCACACCAGACTCAAATAAAACCCTTTAGGCATTGCTGCATTTTTATCTGTAATGTTCCAGACAAAGACTACGTGAAATCTGTCAGAGACATCACATCACAGGCGCGGCCTGTCCGGGAAATAGGCGCCAGACAGGGCACAGCGATGTGTAAGGCTACTTACTGAGCACTGCTGGGCCCCCCTAAAGGTGCAAACAGGAAAACACGCTACCCCTGCATCGTACGGGTCAGAACGTAGCACGAGAGCTATTCCCAAGGGAATCACTCAAAATATCAATTATTTAAGAGGAAAACTCAGAAGAGCTACCTGCAGCGGCGGTCTCCCCGGGGCCCGTCCGGCACCGCCTCACCGCCTCCCACCTGCGAGTCCCGCACACGGACACGACCCCCTCCCGCCGCCGCCCCACCCCGAGCCCGGCGGCACGGGCGCGGCCGAGCCGGCCCGCGGAGCACCACGGCAGGCCCCCACACGCGGCGGAGGAAGGGGTGGAGGGCGCCGCAGCCACCCCGCTCTCACCGCGGGGCCGGGACAGGGCCGGGAAGGGAAGGGCCGGGAACAGACGCGGCTCCCGCAGCCCGGCCGGTCCGGCAGCGCCGCTTCCGCCCACGTGACGGCGGCGGCTGGGCGGCCGCGCAGCGCCCCCTGGCGGTGGAGGTGTGGGGAGATCGCAGAATTTCAAACAACGGTGTCCATCTCTGACCGCATGGTGTAATTCGATTTGGCCAGGACAGCAGCAGGACTAATGTAACTTCATAGAATCATCAAGGTTGGAAGAGCCCTTCAAGATCAACCAGTCCAACCATCCACCCATCACTGCCACTGTAACCCCAAACCACTAACCCGTAATACCCAGAGCCAGAAGTCTCTTAAACACCTCCAGCAATAGAGCCTCCACCACCTCCTTGGGCAACCTATCCCAGTGCCTGACCGCCCTAACAGTGAAAATTTGTTTTCTGATATCTAATCTGAATCTACTGTCTCAGCTTAAGGCCATTTCCTCTGGTCCTCACTGCAGACACGGCAGAAGAGACCGGCCCCCACCTCACCACAACCTGCTTTCAGGTACTTGTGGATGGAGTATGATGAGATTCCCCCTGAGCCTCCTCTTCTCTAGACTAAATAAACCCATTCCCTCAGCTGTTCCTTTTAAGACTTGTTTTCTACACCCTTTGGAAACCTTGTTGCCCTTGAGTGAACATGCTCCAGCACTTCAATGTCTTTGTTACAGTGAAGCGCCCAGAACTGAACGCCAAGGTGTGGCCTCACCAATGCCCAGTACAGGGGATGATCACTGCCCTGGTGCTGCTGGCCATGCTATTTCTGATACAGGATGCCATTGGCTTTCTTGGCCACCTGGGTGCATTGCTGGCTCAAGTTCATTCAGCTCATATTCATATTCTGTGAGCAGCATTCAGACTTTGGCTTTGCCCTCAGGCAGAAGCACCAGTAGTAATTGATAGTCTTTGATGTCCGTGATAATCCAGACAGTACTCTCTGAGTAGTGATCATGAAATTTAGAATTTGGCATCTAACCGTGAGAAATGATGTACCAATCTGGCTGTAGCTACTTGTAGCCACTGCTGAATTCTGTGAAAACTGGAGCTACCTTCCAGTTCAAACTTTGCTGTGAAGGAGGTTCTCTACAGGATTGATACGCTTAACTAATTTTTAATATCATTAATGTAAGTTAATAATACGGTATTTCTTCAATACTTGCATGCAGAGTTAAGGATAGCATAATTACAGATTACTTGAACTGTATGATTTATTCACATTAATACATCAGTATGCCTTCAGTGTATCACTGATAAAATGTATTTGCCGGGCCACGACCAATAAAGAACAACAGAAAACATCTTTTCCAAGGGTTTGTTATAAATTGCCAATATGTGGACTTATAACATTTAAAACTCTGATTTTGTAGTTCCCGTATCATTTTTTCACTTGACTGAAAGCACTGAGATTAGCTCAGTTGTTTAGTTGGTTAGAGCATGGTGCTAATAACACCAAGGTTGTGGGTTTGATCTCCATACAGGCCATTCACTTGGGAGTTAGACTCAATGATCTTTGTGGGTCCCTCCCAGCTCAGATTCTGTGATTAAATATGACTGACCAATTAAGTCTTGCTGAATGTACTTTTATTTTCCTACTTACATAATGACATACTGTATAATTTTATAATATACCATTTGTAAGGGCCAAGGTTAAAATAGAAGTTATAATTTGGTAATTTCTCAATTCAGCCACAAAATGTAACTGTCTCTGGCTAGATATACAATGACTAAAATATTAGACAGCCATAAAATATTAGACAAGGTTTCATAAAGCTGTTGTTATTAGGCAGAACTCTCTAGTTCCCTGTCTCTAGCTGTTAATTATGTTAGAAGAAAAAAGAAACCACACCAAAATGCAGTTTCTAATGGTAAACTGTGTTTACAAATTAAAACTGACATGAGATAATCTTCCAGGATGCACAGTGCCATCCTCTACCCTCCTACTTCAGCTTCCCCCAGATGCTCTTTAGAAAGGGCCTTTGATCTTAGATACTGACTTTAAGACAAAATATTCTTAAATTACGTATTTAAAATTACATAATACAATCCCTTGCTTTACTAGAAAAATATTTATATGCTGAAAGTGACTGAACCTATTGGGAAATAGGTAGATGACAGGGAAAGCAGTATAGTCTTGTGTTGGAAAGAGGTGTATTACTATATGTATGACTCCAAAGCACAAAGGAGAAGAATGAGAAATAACACAAAAGACACAATCCAGAACAGGCACTCTGCTCTGTTTCACTTCCAAAATTATTTTTAAAATTCTGTATTTGCCTGATTTAAGATGTAGGAAATTATTAGTTATCCATGAAAGATAGACACACAGAAGAAGAGTACTTCTGCTTTAAATAAAATTAAATAAACTCTTTTGTCATAGGTTTCCCCACATTCTTAATTCTGATGTTGGTTAAAGAGTTTTAAAAAATACATATAGGAAAAAACATGATCAGTCTTTATGATAGCCTTTTTGCCTCTTCTGTGATGCTTATGATCACTCTTCTTCATTTTCAGGCTGCTACATATTTTCTTTTCTCTGTAACAGATATGGCTGATAGCAATTCCCATCTTCTGAAGAAAATCTGCATTATAACCACAATCTCAAGTATTAATTCATTCCATCCTGTAGCTGAAACCTTTTATAAGAATGCAACAGATTTATTTATTCACAAGAGTTTGTTCCTATTCAATTTTGGAGAAGACTTCCAGGAGAACTAGATAAACCCCTGATACTGTATTTCAAACTACGTTCTACTTATCCAAGGTCAGGAAATGTGATGCAGGAAATAACTCTGCATTAACTGAAAGATGGACTATTTAGCCTGTTAGGTCTTTTCCATTTATAACAGCATATTCTCTGTGTCCTGTGGTGCAGCTGTGCTATACTCACCACAAAGTGATGGTCTCCAGCACCTCAAGACAGACTTTCCACATTGTGATCAGGCAATTATACGGTGTCTTGGTAGTTGACGTCTTACAAAGACGTTCACACAGAGAACTGTGTAAAAGTAAGGAGTCCCTAGATTAGATCCCTGAAGACCTTTTAAAGTATTTTTCCTTTAGATAGTAACTGAAATAATTGACAGGGACAATGTACCTTTTTTAACTTTCCTTCAGTTTAGTCTGATTACTTAGTGAAGCATGTCTGAAATACTATGTTATTAGACAGAAGAAATGCCAGACAGACTTTAATTGCGTATTATTCCACATAAAATGCAGGTTTATTTGCCTTCTAATATAGTCAATTTACTGTTTATACAGTACAAGAATAAAAATATATAAACTACCAAAGAAAGTCCATTAAATGTGGCTGAACATTATAGTAATTTTTTAGCTATCATCAGTTTCTAACATGATACAGACAATTATTGGGTCAGGAATTCACTGTATATGTACTTTATTTCAGAAGAGTGATCTGAAGTGCTCATTTTTAGAGGTTCTATGTCTTTATTACAATTATGAGATGAATGATGGAAGCTTTTCTACCCAGAAAACATTTCCTTGTGCCTATTAAGCAAAGAATTTGTACACGTTACAGAAAACATTGTGATCTCAACAATTAATACATGGTTCAAACAAGACAATGTATCAGGGATAGCAGTAGCATGAATTATACTTGCTATTGAAGATGGTTTTGTGGAACCTGGATGTTAGGCAAATACTTCTTGTAGCTAATAATCAAATGTCACAAAGACGTTCTCAAAAGAACAACTGATTTTCACAAACAATTACTATAAATACAATCCTTCTCTTTAACGGTATGTAGGTGGCAAATTTAAGACTTAAGTTCTTACAAGTTCCAGAGGATGTGTTACCCACATAAACTGCTCTCACAACTGTCATTATATACATAATTACTAAGATTTGTGTTAGAATGCATGTAATTTGCAACATGTACCTAGAATAAATATATAACTTCTGAAGATTAGCTAATCAAAGGTATGGCCTTTCCTATATACATGCAGTAGGGTAACATTTTAAAAGTAGAAAGCTGTACATTTTACAGTTTTTCAAATATACTCTCAGTTATTGGATGTTATTTTAATTTTGAATCCAAAGTACATTTGCACAAATGTTTTCAAAGCTGGGAGTTCATGTGAAAGACAACAGCAAAGTACAAGGCACAGGACCCTTGTGTGACTATCCAGTTGTACAGATGGCAGGTGCGGAGAGGGGAATGAAGCAGCCTCTGATTTCCTAGGAGCTGTCATCAGTCAGCTTTAGGTCCACACCTGGTTTAGTCCACAGCTGGCCTTCCTATACTCTCTTGGCTGCCAAAACAGAAAGTGATTTTCTCCTGCAGGATGTTCTGACCAGAAGCTTCTCTGAATGACCTTCTGGGTTGGCATTTCTTTACTGATTACGGGATGAACAGCCAATGAGCATTGCTGACTGACACCAGGCAGTATCACTGTGCTTCTTACTATTAACATTGTTCCCCTTCAGCTCCTGCTTCAATACAGCTTAAATTCATCCTCTGTTTCTACTGTAATATACTACTATCACAAGTCCAGCTGTAACTTTTTATGAAATGTTCCAAACATTCAAGTAGGCTCCAGCCCACTGTAAATCTAACTCTAAGTAGCGCTCTGAATATGCTAACATTAGCTAAAAACTCGTGAAAATAACTCTCATAATTCTATGAATTTTGAAAAGTCTATCACTTTCCTACAAAGTAAGTGTAGTAGCCAACAACTATTGTTTACACAGTACTTTGTTATCTCTTGGTCCAGAGGCAGAGACATAAACAGTTTCTGTTCCTTAACCTTGCCTGTTTATAAGCACTGAAGTGCTAGAAAGGAGACTTTAATGATACAAAAGTTCTGAAAGGTGTGACAAATAAAGCAATGCTGCTTAAGAACATTTATTATCTAGGACAGTACCACAAATTGAAGGCCAAAGGGCACACTAAATGTTCTGTAGGAAAAATAATATAGCTACATAGGTAAAAAGTTGGTCACATGGTACCTAAATGCAATACTCCGATTCATCAGGATGAGGGTTGGATTCTTATACGGATGTAGGTATGATTTCTTTAATGGAGTTCTGCATTTTAACACATTTAAAAATGGAAATGTGCATCATTCTTATACAGACCTCAATTGGTTGCTTTCTTTTTTCTACTTCTAGGATATAAATTAACTGTTTATGCTCTTAATGCTGTAAAATGATTTTAGCTATTAATGAAAGATAATCTATACCTCCATGAATATATGAGAAAATGCTGAACTCTACTTACAAAAGCAATCACTACTGATTGTGAGAATTACTGGTTCTACCTTGTGAGCCTCATGTATTTGTAAGTATTTGCTAGAGTGAGGCCCTCCCAGTATATATAAATGGTCAATTGTTTATGTAAAAAGTACGCTCCATTTTTTACTTACATGTAAACCTAAAAAGCAGATACTGCATATCACTTACTATCTTTTTGATCAGATGGTATATGAAATGCTGGTCAGTGAAAGTCAACCAGTCACCTTAATGTTAGAAAATGCATCTTCAGGACAAAGGACACAGGGAGAGACATAAAAGGTTGGAAGCATAGAAGCACATCCTCATAACTACTAAGCAATCCCTATTACTGGATGACCAGATTGAATCATCATTTAGGTAGGTGTCATCAAAGTTCACAATCTTCAAGTCCTTCTTAAGGTACATTGCATTCAGATTGCTTAGTGTTCGAGCAAAGGTATATTTAGATGCACAACTATATGCTTCCATATTGTAGATCTTGTGGAAGTGCATATCAAAATATGGATTATCCTAAAAAAAAAAAAAAAGGAATAAAATTGAGAGATAGAGAAATTATTATATGCATTACAGTGTTAAAATGGCAATCTGTTGTTCTCTGCTCAGCTACCTGCAGGGCTTTTTCTCTGATGGGCTCTAAAGTACTTTGTGTATTTCTGCTATTCATCTTAAGTGGTCTTTTATACCTTTAAAAAGCAGCAACATAAAATTAGATGGAATTCTTTGCCATTGGGAATTGTGAGTAAAACTTTCAAAGTTTATTCAACCAATATGCTGCCATTTATTGAGATTATACAATCTTGTTTTGAAATAAACCAATTTGTCATGTTGCCTAAAACACACTATATGAAAAGCACTTGCCTGAGACTATAACTATCTATGTCTGTCAGAAGAATAATATTGATTGGCCCTTTCTGCCTTAATTGTATTTCTTTGTGCTTTCTGGTTCTTTGGCACAATTAATGAATTTAGCAGCAGCTAAGTTCTGCTAAATTCATAATGTTCCATTATGAACATTTATAGCAGTGTTAATCACCCTATAATTATGAGTTTGAGGTTCATTTAGGTTTTTCTTTAACCAAAAATGAGACAGATTTTGATTATCCAAGTTGTGAAAGGCTGGATAATCTCTGAGGAATATTTTAGCAAAACGCTTAAAAAAAAAAAAAGGTTAAATTCATGCAGCAAGTGATAAGGAAATCCTCTGGCTGCCTTTGGCTGGGGAAAGGACAGGAACATTTTCAGGAGCAAGATAACTTGGAGAGGGGATGTAAAGGATTCTTAGTTTTGTCTTTTTTTCCCTTCTGGCCTAAACTGCTAAGAGCTCACAGGGTGTGGGGGTACTCTGAAGCAGAGTTCACCTCTTCTGTCTCCCACATTCCGCTTTTTAGCCTTGAGGACCATGTGCACAGGACAGAATGAGAACAACCCCAATTTATCATTTTCCTTGGAATAAGGCTCTGAAACATTTCTCGTGGGGCTCTTGATTTCTGTTTCATTAGCTTTATGTAATCTGAATTCTATTTCACATTCACTTGAAAGTGCTTTCAAAGGGGGAAAAGTAATTTTTTCCTGGACTACATGTATTATACACAGACAACTGTCAAAATGTCTTTTCACACATATAAAGAAGATATTCTCCTCAGCATATTCTTCTAGCTTTGTAAAATTGGATTTAATTCTATTTTTGGAGTTGTTATGTATTGTACTACTGCAGTCTCATTTTATCCTTCTGAAGCTGAGATTAGGACTTTTTTAGCAGCAAGGTCAGCCTGATCTAGCCAAAACTGTTTCATATTTACACACACAAATAGACAAATACTGAATTGATTCAAGTAACCTGAGACTAAGCTGTCTGAAAGACACAATTTTGTGAGCTGCTACATCAAACAATGCACTTGTATGGTATTATACACGTTGACTTTGTCACACAGAGACCAGGTTCAAACATTTAAGTGAGAGGGTGACAGTCTCCATAGAAATATTTAACAAAATTTTGTTTTCAAATACACTTTAAAATCTATGGGATTAACTGCAGTTTACACTGGGAGCTGCTGGTGGAGAACTTTTATTGCCAGTTATAATTAACAAATTAGAAAACAACCAGCTTCTGCCTCAGGTCTCAACCAGAGAGATAAAGATGATCACAAAAAACACAAAAATCTCTCCTTCCTCTTCCCTTGCAACAGTGAAAATGTGATGTGGAGCCTCTCACATGCAATAAAACAAAAATTCCTTGGTAACATAACTTTATTTTTCAGATAATGCATTTTAATAATTTTGTCCTAAATTGCAACACAAGAAAATTATACTCTATGTATTTAATAGTACATAACACTTACAGTATCTGCTTCTTTTCCATCAATCATCTCCAGATCTTTCAAAAACCACTTTTCAACTATTTCATATTTCTCCTCTCGATTCACTCGCCAGTGTTTCACCATACATATTTCTACTTCTTTACTTGTAGTCACTGCAAGAAAAAAAATAGTTTAGATATGCAGGCAAGTACTTATGCAAAGTTCTGATAATAGAAGGCTTAATTAAACTACATTTTAGATAGTAACTTTAAATCATGACAGGCAGGGCTGTATAGACTTATACTGGCTTAATAGTTTTATTTTGCCTAGGAAGTAGAAATAGCACCATGTTTTCAGTCTTTTAGTAGATCTAGTGTTTTTAGTAGATCTAGAGTTTACCTTACCCAGCCTGTGCAGAGAGTCCTGTCTGTTCAAAAGCCTTTCATGTAAATTCACTAGCAGTGCCAAGAAAGCCTAGTTCTGGCACTGGATCTGCACTTATGGTTTGAGAGGCAGTCTTTTTGGGATGCTGCAGTCAGAAAACTGCAAAACTTCTACCAAGGCTCTGTATTTACATGACTTGTGCTACACTTTCTGTTCTGTAGAGGAAGTTATCTTATGTAGCCATTACTTTTTTAAAGCAAAACTCTTATTTCTCTATATAATATGTAATTAGGCCACTCCACAAAAATAACATTTAAAAATTTTCTTAAAGCTTCAAGCTGTCCAGTGCTGACTTTATAGAAATTACTATTTTCCAACGTAGGCAGGAAATTAGATTAAAAAGAACACGAAGACACTCTGTGCAGTAACTACCATGATTAATTGATTACATTGAGTGCTGTGTAGGAGACTGGATTTCCGTAACACACAATGATGAGTGTGAAAAGCATCAGAGCCTGAACAATCTCCTGCACATCCAGCTGCTGATGGCTGCAGGGCAGGAGACATCCCCAAGCCATCTGGTAGCCTAAGTTAAGGGTGAGATGTCACCTGTGTCTAGCAGGAGCATTTTGACACCATAGCACGAGGCTAGAAACACAGGCGCAAAATTCTTTTATTTCTAAATATTACCTGAATTTTTGAAAACCCATTTTGAAACTTGACTAGTTTTATCTTACTCTTGTTAAAACTTCTCTTGCTTCTCACCTGCTTGTAAGAAAATGGTTATTAAATAAAGACCAACAAAGGATGTATGTTGGAGATATGCCTTCTCTCCACTGAAAAGAAAAACAGTGGAAAATATATAAATGGATTATAATTTCTCTCAGCCTATAGCTTCACTGCCTGGGAAATACAAATCAGTCTTGCTTTTTTTTCCTAGTCCTATCAAGCAGAGTTGCTTGAAGGTTTTTTATTAAAAAAAAAAAAAAGACCAAAAGACCACCACTGTGGTGGATAACTTAAAATCATTTTCATTGGCAAGCAAATCTAATACAGTAATCTTAGGAAGTTCTCTTCATACTTTCAGTTTCTCCCATTTTTTTCTGTTGGTTGGAAATATATTGCCTTCCTCAGAGTTAAAACAAAAGGAAACAAGTCCAAGCCCAAAAGCCCCCAGTCCTGTCAGAAACACAAAGGGATGTCCTAGTGGACCCCAGGTCCTCCACATCGCCACTGCTCTGTCAGACAACAGAAATCCTATGACATAAGGACAGAGCACAGATGTGTTAGGAATAATGAAACCAGGAGCATGTCCTGCCCAGTGGTGAAATTTGGGTGGACTAGTTTCAATTAAAAATAAATTTACTTTTCCTATATTTTACATATTGCTTGTTCTTATACTCAGTTAAAAGAGTCAAAGAAAAAAAATATATAGAACATGAGCTCAGATCTACCATGTCAGTCTATTAAGTTCTAAAAGCTTTTCCTGAGGAGGGCACAGCTATGGCAATGCCTTCATAGAGCACAAACTATTTCTTAAAGTCTTCCATGGACTAAACACCTTTTTCAGAGTTTCTGTTGGACAATACAATGCTATTCCTACCATTCTTTCTTGGGCATAGCAATACTGGGTTGTGAAAACCCCTGAATGGGATTGCATTTCAGCCTTATGTTCTTCTGGGGTTTATGAAGCTTTCAGTGAAAGGATACTATTACCTTCACACAAGAACTGGGACTTGCTGTTGTGAAAAGGAAAGGAAGTAATGTTGGCACAAAAATGAGATTCTTCAGTTACCCACACCAGGATTTTGTTGTAATACAGATTTCAAAAGGCATAGACCTCTGAAGTTTTGCCTATAGCTTGACTGATTTTTTTTTTTTGCTATGGTAATTTGAAATGAACAGGAATACACAGACTTTGCATTGCAGGGATAGGTTTTAAGATAATGTGTTTTGCTCCTACAGAATCACAGTGGAATACAGTAGCTGCTGGCAGCCAGATGCAACCCATCTTTCAGAATCAGATTTCCATTCTACTCACCACTTACTTGACTGTGCCTGTATATAATAAGCGACTTTAATATTGACTACTGGAGAGATCCCACTCTTAATACTCTACATAAATTTTCCTTCATGTCTTTAAAGACTTCCAATCAGTTAATCTGATTAGAGGCTTTCTTTAATGGTTTCTTCTCTTCTACCTTAAACTGAAGTTTTTAGTAAAGGTTTTAAAGGTGCATAACGTTATTTCTCCTCTTTGGATGTTTCACAGCAGTGAAATATTTAGATTTACTACATGCAGCTAACCATACTTCTGCTGGACTGTTTCATAAACTATGTGTGACATTGGCAATTCTGTACGTTTAGAAGCTCTATGATATTCCAGAATTCATTTCTTAAAACTATTTTTACAGTTCTAAAACACAAAGCATGTTCCACCAACATTATGGGAGTACAGGGAACATAGCTTGCTCAGTATTTCTGATAATCTGTAAGACAACTTATACATTCTAAGGACATAAAGTGTTTAGAAAGATAATGATCACAGAATACCGGATACTAACCCAATCTATGTCTTGAGTACACAGATTGTTTCTACCTGTTACATATTTTGAACCTGAAGAAGAAAGAGACGGGAAGAATCGTTCACCTCAACCTAACTACTTACAGATGACATAATTTCTGGTTTTGAGTATCTTCCAGTGTTCTGAAATAAAAATTAAAAAAAGCACTCAAACAAACAAACAAAAACAATAAACCAGTTCGTCTGAAATCTTGTTCTAATACCTCTATAAAACAGATTCCCTTGGAAAAAAATTTAGGAAGTAGCCAGATAATTACCACTCACAGCAATCTTGTTTTACTCACAGTTTGTCCTAATTGCTAACTCTAATGCGTATTTACTTAAACCACAAGTCTAGTTTGTTGCTCCTGATGTAACTGGGACAATATGTAGAACATTAGACCAAGATGGGGGATAGCGTAAAAGCTTTTAAAATGACAAATGTCTCCTGCAATGTTAATGCATTGTTACGCTTTCCTACGCAAACCCGATTAAACTATAGTAAGGGTTTGCTCTTTTCGGAGCAGATCAGACGCTCACAGCACTGCCACGGGTTGCGCACTGCCACCAGTTGTCCTGCAAGAGTCACCTTTCTCCGCTGATGTCAAACCTCGAGCCCGTGTGAATCAGAAATCGGAGCAAACGCCGTTTCGGGGGTTGCTGGCGATGCGGAGGCAGCGAGCTCGGCTCTGTGCCCTGCCGAGCAGTGAGGAGCGGTGGGGCGGGACGCGGCGGCGGCCGCACCCCGTCGAGGCGCTGCCCGGTGCCCGCTCCGTCCCGGCGGGCGCTCCCGCTCAGGGAGCGCCCAGGTACGCGCACTCTGCATCCCCACGCACCCACCCGCGCCCGCCTCCCCTCGCAGACCCACTCGCCCCCGGCAGCTGCCCCCGCACCTGCGGCGCACAGGTAGTAGCGCTGGGCACCCGCGCCCTCCACCTCGATGAACTCGTGCAGCCTCTGCCGCCGGGGCCCGAACAGCCTCTTCGCCAGGTCCTCCTTCACCAGCGAGGACATGGCACCCGCGGAGCCGCTCAGCGGCGGGCGCTGTGCCCCCGCGCCCCGCGGCCGCCGCGCCGCGCCGGGCACCCGCGGCGCTCCGAGGCGGAGGCTGCGCCCCGGCCGTGCGGGGCCGCGGGGCGCGGGGGGGGCATGGCCGGCACCGACCCCGGCAATGGGGCACCGCTCCCGTACGGACAACTCTCCGCGCCGCCGGGGCACCCCCGTTAAAGCTCCGGCCGCCGGCGCCGGGGGAGGCCGGTCCGCGCATCTCCCCGCCCCGCGCCCGCCCTCCCTCCGTGTGCCAGCGGGACGCTCCCATCGGAGGGGTCCGGGACCGGCTGCGCGGCCCCGCCGATGTCACAGTGAGGTCCCGGTAGAGGTGCAATCGAGATGCCCGCCCGGTCCGTCCCCCGGCTGGGGGGGAGGAGGAGGACGAGAGAACGAGCGAGGAAGGGACGCAAAGCAATCACGCTAAAGGCAGTTTACCGAAAAAGAGAATTGTCAGCGCAATTTTTTTATCAGTGGATGAAAAAGTTGGTGGAATTTGTAAAGGAATTAGATAGCCTTATGGCTGTCACCACTGTTCATACACTAATATTATGAGTATTAATAGCGTTAAGGGGGAAATTACCTTATGCCTTATATACTCCTTGTAAACGAAAAGTGAAATCATCTCCAGAGGAGTCTCAGAGGGCAGGTGCAAAGTGGGCACCAGGGGAAACTACCATCCCCAGAACTTTTACATGTGTGAGGGCCCTTTCACATCAGACATGAGTATATTTGCAGAAATTTTGGTTGTTCCTGCCACTCTGAAGGTGTGTGAGTAAAGTTTTTGGAGGCAGGTGTTCTTCTAATTTCAGTATCCATGGTAGCCTGTGTTAGAGTTTTCCTTTTGGACTCATTTCTGGCTGCTACTAGAAGCTAGATGTTCTCTTCTATTCTTGTCCTCAAGCTTGGTGTGTCTGAATACCTTATTGAGTTTTTCATTCTTATGGTTTCAATGCAACTTAGAAAGTAATCTAGCCTTAGAATGAAACTGAGTGCTAAAGTAAGGTAAGGTTTAAAATCTGAGGATTTTTTAAAAAATTACAATAGTAGAATTATTTAGTGACATAGGTCTATGTGGTGCTTTGATGATGTGAAAGAAAATGGAATTAAGGTAAAATGATGTTGATGTAAAATTATCTCTACAATAAATACTAAGCATATTAGATTGACAAGTGGGAAAGGGATAGAAAAGAAACTAGAACCTTTTGGGTTATTCTACTCTCTTTTGGTCCCATGTGTTTAGAAACACAGTTGTGATTCCTAGATGTATAGATTTATTTTCATCTCTGATTTGGGAGGGTAAAGTTACTCTAAGCTTCAGGGTTTTGACATATTTTGTAAGTATGGGGCTTAAGGACAGATTTAATCTCTTACCTTCAAAGGTTTGTTTTAGGAAAAGAGCACGATGCTCACTTCCAAATCAAGACAACAACATATGAGGAAAATGCCTTGTTTTGGAGACCTTCCACTGGATAGCTGAGACACAGAGATATCCAGATGCCTGCTTACAACTTTGATGACTTGGTGTGAGACACTGGATTATTATATTAATTATTGCCTCAGACCAGTTAAAGTGTGTGTGTGTGGGGAAGGGACAGGTCACATTTCACAAAGGTGCCCTGCTCCATATCCCAGCCCCTTGGAGCCTCCTTGGCCAGCCCAAAGCAGCTGTCAGTCACTGGACACGGGCAGCACTGCCCCACACCACAGCCCCTGGAGCCCCTAACCCAGCCTCAGAGCGGCCAGTGGGCCAGAAATCTCACCTGGGGTGGAGGGTGGAGGGTGGGGGGATGGCCACAGGGGGCAAAAGCAAATAAAACCAACACCACCAGGTGTCCACATTGTCATGACCCTACTGTCTGGACATGTGGAAGCTGGAACTGCATGGGACTCCAGGAGGTAGGTATAATTCTCTATTTTTCTTTCTCTTTCTTTATTTCTTCTTCTTCTCCTAATCTCCTTTCTTGATTTTTGAGTAACTTAAAGCTGGATGGGGTTAGATTTTGCTAAGTTGTATGGGTTAGCATGTGCTAAGTCAATGCTTTGTGCAATGCTTTATTTTGGTTGAATGTTGCCCTTTAAACTTTTGCCAAGTTCCCTTAATTTTTAAAGTTTGCCAGTAAAAGTGTGTTATTTGACATCCTGAGAAATGTGTGCAGTGTGTTCTGTTGTGTACTCTTTCAAGATATAAAAAGAACTAAAGGCTCTTTTAATAAATCTGGCGGGCAGATTTTTGGAGCCTTGTATATTTTTAACATAAAACCCCTTTGATAAGCCTGTAGCGCAAGCCTGAGGTCTTATACTTGGCCATACCTTGAATATGGGACTGGTGTACAAATTGGCTTGCAGTTTATGGTCCCTCTTGTTCTGCCAGGCATTGGCAGAACTGTCAAGACTCATGCCTTCAGTTCGTCACCACTAGTGTTAATAGTGCCATGGCTGGAGGTTTCAGTGTTCATGCTCGGTGCCAGAGTCCTCATTAGGAAGCTGATTATGACTCAGCCAATCTGTAGCTTATGTTGCATTTCAGATGCTTGAATATTTTTTTTTTTTGCAGTTGTGAAGCAAGAAAATTACAGACAAAAGTACCCTCAGAAAAATATCTTCAGCTCTGGAAGAACTTTCAATCAGTTTTTCCCTTGTTATACCCAGCTGGTACTGGAGAAACTGCCTAGATGGCAATGAGACATCACTAGTATCATGGAGGTGATGGGGCTGAGACAAAAGTGTGTAGATCTGTTCTCTCTTGAGTCAGATTTTCATTTTTCACAGTTTGATCAAACTCAAAGTCATTCTCCCTCCATTTTCATAGGACTGTTTTGTGGTTTGATATATTAATACTCTTAGACTTTTTTCTTTTGGGATGTTCTTGCACATTAATACTGTGCCACTGGTCATTAGTACATGGCTAGTAGAAACGTGTACATTAACAGAGCTTTACATTGAAAGCCATGACTTCATTTAGGTGAGGCTTTAGGGTTGAGTAGTCTGAGCAGTACTAATGAATATTCAGCTGCACCTCTACCTCCTACTTTCCCCTGTCCATGCCTACTTAGATTTCCCTTTATGCAAAGAATGTTGCCTGCATAGTGACTTGAGCATCTGTTGTGCGTGCTGGATAAGTGTTCAAATTGTATTTTAAAGATTATTATAGAGACTAAATTACTTCACAATGTCCTTTATTGCATTCTTAAAGGATACATTAACCAACCTATCTGAGTAAATTGGTAGAAAATGGTGATTTTTACATAGAATGTTTTAATAGGAAACTGAAAAAATTGTAATTCATTATTGCTCTTCATTTTTTCGATTCTTTATTTACCCATTCTCTATTACAACATATTTGAGATCCACCTTAGCTACAATAGTGTAAGCACAAATCGCAACAGTCTGAAAGGCAACAGTTGGGTAGTAATTTACCTAGCCAGCAAGGATACAGTAACCCTGGACTGGGTTTAGCTTCTCATTCTGGCACCCAATATCCCTGCCAGCCATCCTTACCTCAACTAATCCCACCCATGAATGTGAATGATATAGACATAAACCAGAACAAACTAACCTCATTGTTACCAGGACCACAAACAACTTTACATCCAAATTTAACTGGGATTTACTCTTAGCTGTCCACATAGATGAATTATAGATGATTGTGAAAGCTACACAACCCCTAACCAAGGCTCACAGGGAAGGAAGACTAAAGGTCTGAAACATAAAGTAGTCACCAGGGGAGTGTCTTGGACCTTTCTGCTAAATATTAATTACTTCTACTCCTTCTCTTTGCCCTGAAAATTTTTCCAATGTTGAAATAGTTTTCTTTACTGTACCCAGGACATTAACAGATATAGTAGCAGGTCCTAAAAGGATTAATGTCTTTAATCTTTATTGTTTCTCAGTCACACTGTTGTGGTAAAAATCAATTCACCAGCTTTAGGAACTGTATTTATGGTGGGTCCCTATATTCCTTTGGGTCTACTAATAAGTGTTAGTATATGCATGTAACTTGATTACTTGAGGCTTGATCCAAAGCCCATTAAGTCAATAGCAAAATTTTCTTTGACTTTGGTGGGCTTCAGAGTAGTCAGTACTGACACAATAGTACAGTCACCACATTTAGGTGGGACTTCACTGTGTTCTGCATGTTGAAGCCCTCCAGAGGATTTGATCTCTCTCCCAATTCCTGTCAAGATTCATATCCTTACAACGCAGTGTTTTCTGGAAGCACCTTTCCCATTACTCCTTCTTTGACAATGTTATGAAATAATGGGAAAATGCAACATAAAGAATAATTTCTCTGAGCTGTAAAGAATCCCTGTAAGCTGAAAAATGTTATAATTTTATTTAAATTATGCTTTATTTTCCTATAGCTGCTGTTTCTGTTTGAGGTTTCAGCCAGGCATGGTTTTCTCTCTTAACACTTAGTTTATCATCTGTAAGTATTCTTCACAGCTTTAGGTCTCCAGGTGACTTTTTTTAACACCACAGATGAGATTTTAGAGTATTAACTAGAAATCACAAATCGCATTCTACAAAGCAGTAGAAAGCAGTTTCCAAAACTGACTTCAGAAAACTAGTTCTGAATGATCATCACCTGTTTTTCTCCCTCTTGTTACTAACAGTTTACTTTTCTCAGGTCTCTTTCCCCACTGACATTTATAGATGATCTGGCTCCTAGTCATGGCTGGTTATTCATGTTTTGGTAGCTATGCCAGTAAAATTATTGGCAGTGAAGCATAAACCTGGTTCAGTTTGTCCTGAAAACTGTTGAAGCAGCAGAGGTAACAGTGTTTCATGCAGAAGTGCTGTTCAGTGAGATAGGGCTTGAATCACTCAGTTTTAAAATAGAAGATAGAAATACATGCTGGAGAAGTCAGCTGGTTAAAATGCTTTTTGTAGAACTACTTTTCTCCTGAGTGTTTTGGAGAACCCACTAAAAGAGTCTCATACCAACCTCAGGATCTATGGATGCTCAAACAGCCAATGACTCA